AGCACGTCTGTAACCCGACACCGTTGCAATGAATCGACATCTGACCAATCACGGCTTTGATACGGCCACTAGTGCAGGTGAAGAGATGTCGGTGAAAAGACAGTTTCAGTCCGGCACAAGCAAGAGGGAAAAAACAAAACATGAAGAAACTATAGCATCACTCGAAGGTGGGTTATTGTATGAGTCATATGTACAACTTGCGAATGTTGTATAAGTCAAATTGCCCATTGCCATCTTAAAACATCAGCTGCAATTCACGACATGAAGAAGGCAGTCTCTGCAGAGCATATAGGCTAATGGAGATGCAGTTATTGCCAGCATTCTTTATTTACCATTCATTCAAGTATGTGATGCCTTTTATCTGCTAATATACAGGAGGAAGAGAGATACACTGTCTGTCTACTTGGCTTACATAACAGTTAAAGTTTACAGCCTAAAAAACATGGAGCATTTTTTCCCCTTTTATGTCAATTTGCACATTTCATGGTGATGCTTAGCCTCTCCCCTTAACTCCTAACAGTCATTATCATGTCAACCACAACACAGAGAAATACTGATAGAAATGTGTGTGTAGTTGTTGATACATTGCTGACAGAGGGAATTACATTTGAATACAGATTGAAGAAATATCAGTTTTTGAGCATGTCATAAGCATGTTTTATCTTGACTATATTACAATTATATTATAATAAAATAATATCGTATTTATATTATTGAATTGATTATGATTATGATTATTAGTAGAAGTAGTTTATTTGCATTCATTATATTTTAATCTTTTTGAGGCTAGTATTTGGCAGGAAATGCAGACGTATTCACCTGTAAACGCATACTGAACGACATACATGTACATTTACCATTTACCTCACTGTCTAAAAAAGTAACTGTTGATAATAATAATAAACAGGAATTATATTTGCAAAGTATCCTACTTTGTTTCCAAAAAAAAAAAGTTCACTCCTGTCGGTTGAGGGGGGGGCCTCATCTCACAATGTCGCTTGGGGCCCCAAGTTGGCCAGGGGCGGCCCTGCATGGACCCCTCCACTATCAGTGCATTCACTGTCAGACAGCAATCCCCCTTTTCAGACCACAACCAAATCAATGTGTTCTTTAAACTCTCAGGTCCAATGAGTGACACAACAAGGGAACCCAGTAAGCTGTATACATTACATCCTACTTACAGGTGGGCCCCAGACAGTGGAGACAAATTCACCATGGCCTTGATCTGATGAATTACATGTCACTGTTTGACCAAAATCAATATGTTCCTACCAAAGATGGTGTAAACATGGCCATTGATTATATCAATATGATATTTCACAAGGCAGCTATTAAAGCTGACCTAATCAAACAAAAGCGGAAGCCTGTTAAAAGGCAAAACGCTGACAAATGGTTTGACCAGGAATGCAAGACCATCAGAAAAGACCTGAGAAAAATAGCAAATGAAAAACATCAGCAACCAAACAACCCAGCCTTACGCATTAGATACAATGACGTTTTAAACAAATATAAATGTACAATAAGGAACAAAAAACAAAATGATACCCACATGAAACTTGAGGATATTGAGAAAGCCATTGATCAAAATCAATTCTGGGATCTGTGGAACAACTTCAACACAAAACAACCACAAGCATTACCCATCCAAAACGGTGACATCTGGAGAGAACATTTTGAAAGTTTGTACAAAGACATACCAATAAATCTAATGAATTCAAATCAATGTATTACAAAAGAGAAACTCCAAACATTAGAAGAAACTATTAAAGACAACCAAAAGCCCCTTGATTTCCCAATGACTTGGGAAGAGTTGACCACACAGACACAATCTCTCTGGCCAAGGAAAGCTTGTGGCCCAGACAACGTTAAAAAGGAAATGCTCAGATGCAGCACCCCAGAGATGCAGGGTACAGTGTTAAAGCTGTTCAGTATCGTATTGCAGTCAGGATGTTTTCATCTGGTGCAAAGGGCTCATTTCCCTCATTCATAAGAGTGGAGACAATCAGACCCTAAGAACTACCGTGGCATCTGTGTCAGCAGCTGTCTGGGGACATTATTCTGTAGCATTCTAAATAAAAGAATACAAGATTTCCTTAACCAACAATCCATCTCGAGTCAAAATCAAATTGGCTTCCTTCCAAAACACCGCACCACCGACCATGTACCCTTCACACTTTAGTTAACTAACATGTACACCAAACACAACATGGTAAGATATTCACTTGTTTCATTGATTTCAAAAAAGCTTTGGACTCTATTTGGCACGAAGGGCTCTATTATAGACTTCTACATTGTGGTATAGGGGGCAACATGTACGATCTGGTTAAATCAATGTATTTAGGGAATAAGTGTGCTGTTAAAATTGGAGACAAACAAACTGAATTCTTCACCCAGAGAAGAGGCGTTCGTCAGGGTTGCAATTTAAGTCCCACTTTATTTAATATATATATAAATGAACTTGCTGTTCAGTTGGATCACTGTGCTGCTCCTGGCCTCTCCCTCCTAGATAGAGGTGAAGTGTCTGCTTTATGCTGATGACCTTGTTCTGCTGTCTCCTACTGAACAAGGACTACAACAACAGCTGGACATAGTAGACCAGTACTGTAAGAACTGGGCCCTGGCAGTCAATATGAAGAAAACTAATGTCATGGTTTTCCAAAAACGCCCCAGATGTCAGGAGAACAAATACCAGTTTACCATAAACAATCATATCATCGAACATAGTATGAGTTATACCTACCTCGGTTTAACCATAACAGCATCGGGAAGTTTCAACATGGCAGTGAATGCACTCAAAGAAACAGCCAGAAGAGCTCTAAATGCAATTAAGAGAACATTGGAAAGAAGAAACTAAAAGCCAAAGTAGATTATAATGTTACCTGGCTCTAAACAGAGATTATGAGCTGGCAGAATATCTCTCTACTGTCAGAGATAGAAAGCAGAGTAAATATGTATGTCTGTGCATTTAAACCTGCATTTAAGAACAAAGGTTTGTGACCCTTATGTATGTTTTATAGAGTACAACAGCCCCCTCCAACATTGAACCAAAGTGACTCATTGACCGGATTTTTAATTGTTCTATGCTTGTCTGTGCTTTTTTGTTGTTGCTTGTATTCTATAATGTGTAAAAAATGAACACACATCACATTAATGCAGTATATGCCCCGATGCCCGCACTGTTAAAGGTAACATCAACATAACATCAACATCATGTCCTGCTGGCACAATCAGTCACACAAAGTATGTACTCACAATGACTTATGTAAAATAGCAAAACACTTACAAAATGACTGCTAATCTGCTTCACCGTATCAAAATCATACATCCTGTTTCTTATGACCAAATCAGTTCACACTCTGGTCAATAAAGTATTTATAATGGAGAGTGTGTTAAGCTGTCAAGCTGACCTCTCTGTTCTTAACTCACAGTTAAAAGCTACATTAAGCAGATTCAGCCCCCTTCTCGGGGTCTGAACCACATCAGGATCACCTTCAGTAGTAGTATGGATACATGAGGCTCAGTGGTTCACCATGTGTGCGTGATCTCAGATCAGGTTAGAGCTGAGATACAGATGCATGATGTGTAGCATCACACAGCATGTTCACAATTATATTGAGTACATGGTCAGTGTGTTTTTCTGTGAGAGGATCTGTATGTGCTGGGTTAGTTTAAAGGGGACCTATCATGCAAAATGCACTTTTGTACGTCTTTTATACATGAATATGTGTCCCCGGTGTTCCAGGGAACTCACCAAGTGTCAGAAAACACAACCCTCTCTATTTTCCTCCTTACCCAAATCTCTAAAAAAGGGGCTGCAACGGATCTGATACAGACTGATCCAGATTTGAACACTTTACTGACGTCAGTAAAGTGGCGCTACGGCTATTGGTCAATTCTCCACCTATCAGGGGAATGAGAGGTTGTTTATTCTCCGCTGTGGCTCTTTTTTTTCTAGATCCCTCCGCTTCGCGTCGGGCTCCTGATCTGCCTGTCGGTGTTCTTTTCCCCATAATGACCGCGTCGCTGCACATTATCCCGCTTATTACATGGCCACATTCTCAACAAAGTAACGACATGACTCCCAATATTAATTGAAATGCTTTTATGGATTTAGAAAATGATTTTATTGATTTAAAAAATAGTTGTATTGATTTAAATTGACATGCATCCGCTAAGAAAAGTAGTCCGTTGTTACTGTTTGAACTAACGTAGCAACGGCAGGAACTGCTTCGATAGTGTTTTTGAGGACCTCTTTGATTACAGATTTGAAAACATCGTTGCTTGCTTTAAAAGTAGCACACTTCATGATGTCAGACCTTGGGAAGTATCTAGATATCCCTGCCCTAATGCCAAAGTAACTGGCAACTGAATATGTGTCGCCGTTTGATGTCTATGTCTGGACCGCTGCGTAAAAAGGAGGGTTTCTGCCCCATTACTTCTCTTCTTACTTCTATAAGAATAAAACACGGAGGACGGAGATCTCTTTTTCTCCCCCTCTTCTGACAGCCCAGCAGCTGATCTCAAAGCACGCTCCCCTCTCCTGCAGGGGGGCGTGGTCAGCTGCAGCTCACAGAATCAGCCCCCTGCAAAAACAGCGCTGGAAAGAGCAAATAGAGCGAAATGAGGCATGGCTAAAATGCAGGATATTTTTGGTATTTAAAAAAAAAAACTATACTTATATACTTTTTATAGGTATGGCCCTACAATATATTGTTCAAATATAGCACGATAGGTGTCCTTTAAACTATAGACTATATAACTGTATATATAAAGGGTTAAACAGGCCGAATGAACTAAACCATGACTCCACATATGAACAAACATACACACTGCTGTGTCAGATATACATTTATTTTACATTTTATATGGATTCAATCCTTCTTCTCTCCCTTAGATTTTGTGGTGGCCAACAGTCCTGCCTATATTCCTCCATCTTTTCTCTCCCCCCTCCTCCCTCTTCCTCCTCTCTCTGTCTCTCTCCCTCTGTGTTTCTGTGATGCCGGGCTGTGGGTGAGTGTTTGCTTGTGACCAGACTGAAGCTGGGGAAGCTAAAGGTGGTGCGGCGGCAGCTGCTGCAAAGGTACAGAGCAAAACACAGCACCATCATTAGCTCTGGCACAACTCTGATGTAGTGGAGATAGGCTGCAGTCATCCGTTTTCCTATGCATTCACACTTCTTTGAAGACAGCCATTGTGTTAATGACTGTTGTTTAATTTGGATTACAATTGGGAGCAATGTGTGGACTTAAAATCGGTAATAAAAGAAGAAAACCAAACAAACACAAATACTTTTTACTCCTAATTATTATGTTGAGGGATGCAGATACTGTAGTCTACATTGAAGTGGTGGGGTTTTGAGATGTTCTGCTTACGCTGAATATATTTCAATTTGTTTGGATGATCAGAAAACCAAACAAAGAACAACAACTCATCAGCAATATCTCTTTCCAAACAATGTGCTGGTGACCCAGGAGGGTGATCTTCAAAGCTTGCTCTGTGCCTTTTCATGAAAAACGCTTTGATCGGACACAGCCTGTGTCTGTGTGCGCACAGAAAGACCAGTCACAGTGCTTCTGTGCAGAGGTAGCCTGGACGCATTATCCAAAGAGGAGAGAGGCCTCATTTATTATTTTTGACATTACATTAATAAAACAGTCAAATAAATGCTTGCGTTTTGCAGTATGAAATCTTATTAGTGAATCTGAACCCTTTGGGATGCCTTATCTTATCCCTCTTCATTATACACAATCCTTCAGCAATACTTTGGAAAGTTCCTGTACAGAACTGAACAGCTCTTTCCTTTTAGGCATATATATTTGACATATTTTGTAATTTTTACAACAATTCTGTTTTCATTTTTATTTTATATATTTATTTACATTCATTATAACTCTAAAGGAAATTCCTTGTATGTGAACTATAGACTATATACAGTATATACAAATACCTAAATGGCAACAAACCTTATTCTGATTCTAATCAGCTTTAATTCACAAAATGGTGGCTGTTCAAAGTAACTAAAGTAATAACTACAATAGGTTTCAGTGGCAGCCTCATATAGTGAGGACAGCCTGCAGATGCAACCTGATACTGAAATGAGCAGAATAAGAAAATACTTTCTGATAGTAATTGTATCTGACACATTGAACCAATGGTGCATCCTACTAACTTTTGACACTATAAGTTTAGTATAAAACTTAATAAAGCAGTCTAGATAGTTGTTGTTTAACAGTTGCTTTATCTTTAATATCTATTAAAGCGAACCAGGTAATATGTTGCTACATGTCTTTTAAAATATGAAGATGTTTCTGTGTTTGTAATATTGTTGTGTTAATGTTAACTGGTGTGTCCTTCCTTGGTTGATTCCTAACTGGCTGTATCAGGTATGAACACCAGCCGTTTGTCTCCTGTCTGGCCGGCCTCTATGGTTGCCAATGGAGACGATACCAAAGAGCCCGGGCACAGCCAGGAGAGTGCTGCTGCAGCAAGGTAAACACTCTCTCACACTCACACACACACACACACACACACACACACACACACACACACACACACACACACACACACACACACACACACACACACACACACACACACACACACACACACACACACACACACACACACACACACACACACACACACACACACACACACACACACACACACACGGCATCAGCTATATCAGTGAGTTGAGTTAGGTGACTGCTGATAGTGCAGAGAGTATTGATTCCTTAGACGGATCTCGTCTGTCCAGCCTGCTGACTACAACACTCAGTTACTGCTTTTCCCTGGAAAACATGAGCATGTAATACTCTGTCAGCTTCATCCAAATATGCTGCTACCATACTGTATGCACTTGGTCATATGATTGACTTCCTCTGTATGTGCCAGATTCTCTAGCATCAGGGAGGCCAAATCTGACTGTACCTTTTAACTTTTAGAAATGTCATATTCCCCAAAATAAATGTCAAAAAGAAAAACTAAATACATTGTAGTTTGGTAAGACAAAAATGACCCATGACCACTGTTTGTGTTTGTTACAGGTGGAGTGTGGCAGTTTCGGCCTCCTGATCCTCACCTTCTTCCTGAGTTTTTTATTCCTCTATTTCTGGAGTGAAGCTCAAAATGACTACTTCGACTTTGACTGGTGGGTACAACACAGATCAGACATACTGGAACATGCCAACACACACTCGTGTTGAGTGTTTTGTGTGATGATTGTCAGACTATTTATAAGCAAAGAGGAAATGTATTTATCCTGAGGGAAACTGCTGTGCTGCAGTTGCTTAGAAAGACAAAGAGAGCACTAAGCTATATAGGATTATAAAACACTAAGGTGCAAATAAATAAATATACACATATAGCAACAAATAGCACCTGCCGAATGCCAAACAGGATCGATGTTGGGTGTGGTAGGTAAAGATGTCAGGTAACCTGCCACCATGATACTGTATAGTCTTCTTGAACAGAAATTCCTCAGTTAAAAATAGTGAGGGATTATGTTTACATGATACATTTCATACTTCTAACATCTGGTACCTCTGACTCAGTGTTTACATTTCTAATGTGTTGTTCTTACATTTCAATGGTTGCTGTCAATACAATTGAGTGGGATGATGTCAAGTGTTGACAGTATCAAACCTGAGGATGGAGTGTGTGCAAGAGTGCATGGTAACACATAATGTTGATATGAATGTTCATGGTGTTGATTAGGGATGATTGTCTTTAACAGGAAAGGAATCAGTGAATCAATACACGATGGATGAAGGGATCAAGCCATCATTCAAACCTGACTCAGAACATGAAGCACACCATGTGATGGCTGTTGACAGTTATTCTTGTTCCTCTTCAGGTTTAACTTTGGGACTCTGGGCTTCTGGTTTCCCTGGTCTCTGGTCCTGCTGGTCATTGCTGCTGCTCTCTTCACATACATCGCCCTCCTGCTGGTATGAACACTGATGGTGGTTCAACCTGTCCACATTAAGCACATGATCGATAATAACAAAGAGAACAATGCTTCATTAGTTCACTTTAATGAATTCAGTTTCCATCAAATCGAATTTCGTGGTTTGTTGGTAATTGTTACTTGAAGCAGTTTTGTGTAATGTTTTTTGATGAATATTTAAACTTTGTTCAGGTCCTGGCAGTGTGCCTGCTCTCTGAGGGACAGAGGCTGTACCTCCACTGGAGCCACAAGGTAATACACACATAGACACAGTTCGTTGTATTTGTGTTCTCAGCTTGTTGTTAGATGTCATTTGTTGTGCCTTCTCGTCCTGATGTGTTTGTGTCAGACTGGCATCGTGGTGGCGTTGGCGTTCTCAGTCACAGCCACCGCCATCTTGTCCGATCTCTGGAGCAAAGAATGGAAGACTCTCCTTCTGTCCCTGCAGGTAATCCTGACACGCCAGCCAATCATATTTCAGGATTTTGTTTATGTTCTTTATGTTTTAAGGGAAATGGTCGTGCTGACATTTTGACCAATACCATTTCTTCCTCTGTATATCTTTATTTGTTCATATCTTCATATCTTCCTCTTTAAATCTTTAGGTGACGGCACCTTTCCTCCATATGGCTGCAGTGTCACTGATGGCGATTCTCTCATGGCCAATAGCTTTGCACTTCTTTCGCATGAACAAGAAAGGTAAGAAGGCTGATGAGTGTCTGTGGAGGGGGGGGGCTTTGACTCTCTGTCAGAATGTACAGTTGCAGTAGTTGTAGATGCATCTTATCAAACATGTAATTTATTACAAAGTAAATGGACCTGGTGATGAAAACTACAAAAAACACGTAATAAAGCAAATATATATATCAGTGTTTACCCTGTGGCCCGCTACGCTTTCTACAACAGAGCTGCAGGTGGCGCTGCCCCGAGCTTGTTTCTCTGATGGAATCGGAAATGGAAACGGACGATTTGAATCAAACTTGAAGCCGTCACACATGTACACAGCACAGCACACTCAGTGAAATATACTCTGCATTAATCCATTCTAGTGAAAGGAGCCCATACATGTAGATGGCCCCCTCAGCAACGTGACACACTTGTCTTGCGTGAATTGCACAGCTGAAGACGTCCCTGTCATCCCTCTTTCTCTCTCCACTTCCTCCTGACAGAAAATCAATGTCTCATTTTCCTACTGGCACTCTTCTCTCTGTCTCTCTGATGTCTCCTTTTGATGCTGCTCTGCACATTTTCCTGCAATCTGTTTGTCTTTCCTTCTATTTTCTATCTAACTGTTTTTATGCACATTTTCAATATAAAAAATAGAATTAAATCTTGAAAGATTGCAGAAAGGTTTTAATTCATGGATATAAGTAGGACTAGGTTAAGTCTCCTATTTCTCTACACAGAACTGATGTTACCTTCTTCACATTATTACACTAAAGACACAGAAGTGTGATAGTTCCATTAGGGCTGAACAATTCATGAAAATGTTATCAAAATCAGTGCAATATCAAGCAGGAGGTACAATTTTAATATATAGATATTTTAAAAAGTGTTATTCCTAGATTTATGTCCTGACTTGTATTTTTACAATTTGTATTCCAGACCCTTGAGCTTCCTTCCATTATCTTACAGACTAACCTTGTATGATATTTTCTTAGTTGAACAACCTGTAACCAGTGACAAGCTAAAAAGCTAGCAAACAGCATTAATGAGACAAGACGCTTTCTACTCTAAAGATTCTGACCCGTGGGCCAGTTGAGCTCCTTTAGTGCTGAAAAGTGCTGAAATCCGGGCTGGGCTGTGTTCGTGTCCATGCAGCAGAACAGGGAGAGCTATGTTACATCTGAGCTTTGGCAGATTACTCTCCTTATCTCCTGCCAGGAGAGACCCTCAAGATGACTCAGCATCACTCTACCCTGCTGACTCACCATGGCAACCAGGGACAGTACCCATGGTGACCAAAGAGGCAAAAGAGATGCAGAAAACATAGAGGTCAAAGAAAATTCATAAAAAGACAGTGAGACAGGAAGAGGAATGTTGAATAAAGTGGGTTTAGCTGTTTTACGGAAATCCATTAAAAGATGTGAGTGAAGAGCAGTCTTCATTTGTCCTCGCTGGGCATGTTAATGGGAATGCAGATCTTTAAGATACATTTGATGGGTGTCATTCAGTGTGCGACTAGCACTGGTTTGTTCTTTCACACTGGTTTGTTCTTTCACACTGCAGCTAAATTCAACATAGTGTTTTACTTCAGCCAAAGTTCCAGTTTTGCCAGGTTTGGTAAGATACTTAGCAGCTAGCTTCACAGGTGGACTGCTTCCTGTTCTTCCTGTTGCCCATACAGTATGTCTGCTGGTCAGACCACCATGTTGATCCTCTCAGGAAGATTTACTGTTTCTCATCCATATTAAAGTTCTGCCCCAGCACACTGCCATAGTCCTGAGCCATATGTAGAGTATTGAAGGCTGGTATCTTGGTTGGGATGTGTTAGCCAAATTAGTTAAAATGATATGAAATGTTATAATATTATATGATATAACTGTAAATAGTTGTTTCGGTTGATTTAGATATTTATATGTTTTTTTTCATCTGTCTTGATATGTTGGATAACCTTTTTTTTTTTTTTTTAAATGTTTGTCAATTTGTATTAAAAAGTGCATTCAGTCAGTCCGCTGAAGGTGCACTTTGTGTTGTGTTGCAGTGCGTCAGGTGGCTGCTCTGGCTCTCTACCTGTCCGTGCTGTTCTCTCTCTACCTGGTTCCTCTGGGGATGTACTCGCCCTGCATCAAAGAGGCAGGGACGCTGGGACCTGCTCCCACACTCATCGGACACAGAGGAGCTCCAATGGTGAGGACTTTGGGATTCTTCTCTTTAAAGTCTGTATTTCCTGAACATCAATCTGATTGCAAAATTTATTTATTTTTCTTTCTCTGGAAATGATTGTGTCGTGTGTGTGTGTGTGTGTGTGTGTGTGTGTGTGTGTGTGTGTGTGTGTGTGTGTGTGTGTGTGTGTGTGTGGTGTGTGTGTGTGGTGTGTGTGTGTGTGTGTGTGTGTGTGTGTGTGTGTGTGTGTGTGTGTGTGTGTGTGTGTGTGTGTGTTTGTGTGTGTAGCTTGCTCCAGAGAATACTATGATGTCGTTTGAGAAGGCGGTGGAAGCAGGAGGAGAAGGACTGGAGACCGACATCACCATCAGGTATAAACTGCTCACAGTTGTGTGTGTGTGTGTGTGTGAGTGTGTGTGTGTGTGTGTGGGTGTGTGTGTGTGTGTGTGTGTGTGTGTGTGTGTGTGTGTGTGTGTGTGTGTGTGTGTGTGTGTGTGTGTGTGTGTGTGTGTGGGTGTGTGTGTGTGTGTGTGTGTGTGTGTGTGTGTGTGTGTGTGTGTGTGTGTGTGTCTCATTCACTGTCCCTCAGGTTGTGGCATGTGTATACATATTGGGCAGCAAGATGTGCCTTGTCTCCTTCTCCTAAAAGTACTCTCAGTCTTGAGAGGTCATCAACCTCCTTGAAACCTGGGATTTCAACTTGTTCCAGTAAACGCTCCTTACTTCGTTGAATGTTTGGCACTTCAGGAGGAAGTGCATCTCTGTCTCAGTCTCACCTGTCGTACAGTGACCACATATTCTGTTCTCTTTTGGTTGCCAGGATCTTTTGAGTCTTCCTGTTGCTAGTTTGTGGTCACTGAGCCTGTACTTGGTTAGGATCTGTCTCTGCTTTCTATCTCTGACAGTAGAGAGATATTCTGCCAGCTCATACTCTCTGTTTAGAGCCAGTTACAGCGCACATCGTACAGGGCAAATGCAAAATGCGGCCCGGGGTGCAAAGGGTGTTTACTTTATTCAATTATTAATGTAAATGTATTACATCAAGGGCAGACAATTAGGCAGAATACAAATTAAAAATGTATTTATTTAGTTTTTTAATAATATTTTTTTCTTTCTCCCAGCGCAGCGCCCCTCCAGATCTGGCGCCCTAGGCGACCGGCTAGTTCGCCAGTGCCTAGGGCCGGCCCTGTGTGTGTGTGTGTGTGTGTGTGTGTGTGTGTGTGTGTGTGTGTGTGTGTGTGTGTGTGTGTGTGTGTGTGTGTGTGATGTCTTTATGAAAGTCAGTCTTAATTGTACTGCAGCTCCTCCTCCCTGCTCTCTTCTTCTTTCATTCATATTCTTACACTGAAAGACAGGAACAGCCTGAACAGCATTGTTAAAACCTGCTCCAAGATCATCGGCGTGAAACAGAGAGACTTAAATTCCTTCTGTAACCAACAGATTCTGCGGAAAGCAGAGAGCATTCTGAACTCTCCAGGTCATGTACTTTCACATGAATTTCGTCTGTTGCCATCAGGGCGTAGATATGCTCTACCTGATCAAAGGACTAATCGCTTTTCTAAATCATTCATCCCTTCTGCACTCAAACTTTTAAACTCTTGAAAAGGCTTTTAACTTGATTATTTATTTATTTATTATCGTGATGCTTTGAACTATTTATAGTGTAAATTAGAATTATTCACATCTGTGCTCCCGGGTGTATCTGTGTGTTTTTTTTTTTCTTCTTGTATGTTCCTGCCTGTGTACATGACATAAGCTGCTGCTCATAACCAATTGCCCCTTGCGGGATTAATAAAGTTGTTGATTGATTGATTCACCGTATGATCACTCATCACTTATTTCTGTGTCATCCTCTCTTACTCTCTGTAGTTATGATGGTGTTCCCTTCCTGATGCATGACTTCAGTCTGAAGAGAACCACCAATGTCGCTGAGGTCTTCCCAAACCGAACGCACCTTGACGCCTCCATGTTCACCTGGGCCGAGCTCCAGCAGCTGAATGCTGGGAACTGGTTCTTATCGGTGAGACTAACACACACACACACACACACACACACACACACACACACACACACACACACACACACACACACACACACACACACACACACACACACACACACACACACACACACACACACCACACACACAGACACATAGGGTTGGGAACCGAAACTCGGTTCCAGATGAGAACCGATAAGAAAATGCCGGGTACCGGGTACCCATACAAAATACACAATTTCGGTTCTGCTTAACGGTTCCTAAACGCGGTAGACCCTGTATTCCAGCGGGTCCGTCTGCACCGCGGTGCTGCGGTGACCCGGTGGAATACAGGGCGGACCTGGAGAATCACAGAACGGCCGGTCGTCAGCGGGCCGTTGACGGCCGGCTCGGTACGTTGACGGCCGGCACCACCCTTCATTTTTTAAAACGGCATCATATAAATTGCGCTGACAGGCGACAGAGGTCCACAGTTGCCCCGCAGCGATGCTCCACCGCCCTCCCGTAGACATTTCACGAGCTCAGTCACTTCATAACACCAAAGATAGGTCGCGGTAAACGCTCTGAAGTGAGGCTCCACTATACTAAAAAAGAAAAAGAAAAGGCAAAGTGTAATGCCTGTTAATAGCTTGCCACAGGCATAGCTCAGTTAAAATAAAGCACAGCTATTGTGCAATACATTTGTATTGCATGTATATTTTTTAGTAACAATTTCAGTTAAAGCTTTTAAGAATAAATATATTTTTGTTATCTAAACGTTTGACCTCTTTATTTTACAATTTTGGAATCGAAACGGGGAATCGATAAGAACCGGAATCGATAAGCAGAACCGGAATCGAAATCGGAATCGATAAATTTCAAACGATACCCATCCCTACAGACACATATACACACCAACACACGCACACACACACACACACACACACACACACACACACACACACACACACACACACACACACACACACACACACACACACACACACACACACACACACACCACACACACACACACACACACACACACACACACCACACACACAGACACATATACACACCAACACACGCACACAAGGCTGGACTGGGATAGAAAATTGGCCCTGGCATTTTGGCCTAGACAGGCCAACAACCATCAAACCAAAACACACAGGGTCTGGGAGTCCTCCGCCAAAAAAACGTACTTGATTTTAATCCCATTTCTACAAACATTTAGGGACTATGGTGATAAAAAGTGGGCCATAATGATACATTCTGCCAGAAAGAATAGTACTAAAATATGTCCTTCCTTCTGAATTGTTTAATACAGCCAACACTGGAGAGAATCATTTTAAGCAGTGGAAAATGTTCACAATTAATGTTGTGTGATTCAAAATAATGTGAGATTCAATTACCATTTTTTTCCTTCTATTAGTTATGGTCATATCACTATATACTCCAAATAATACACAATGTGAAATGTAAATAATGAATTTGAATTCCCTATAATGGCCCAATCTACTACCAAAACAGAAACATATGGACATACTGTATTGTATATAATACATGTGCAAACTTATTTAGTATCCTGACTAGGGTTGCAAAATTCCGGGAATTTTCAAAGATGGAAACTTTCCATGGGAATTAACAGGAATAAACAGGAATTTATGGGAATAAATTGGGAATTTTCTAAATTGAAGGTTGGCTCTACATAGGGAATTTAAATATAGTTGGGGAAAATATATTTTAGCATAATCTTGACTAAAAAAAACAGATGACATTCAAGTACACTTGAATATCCATGCCATTCCTCAATCACATCTACATAGCACACTGCTTACTGCATGGCTATTGAGACCACACCCCCTACAGCATGGGTTGGCAACAGGCGGCCCGCGGGCCATTGTTGGACCGCCAGCAATAATATTTGGCCCGTCATTTTGAGAATAAAAAATAAAATATTATTTTGAGATTTTTTTATTTTGTTATTACAACATCGGACTGACAGTCGCACAGGCTATACTGTCCGAATAGAGAATCTACCTATACCTGAAGAATGCTTATTGTATCCATGTTGAGAGTGAATGACATACAGCACAGGCACAATCAGGCAGCCGGGTGCACTGACGCTGATAGTGGATCAATAGGTGGACAGCGCGTGATGCTGAAATAGCCAACATTCGGTGTGTGGTTTGAAAAAAATAACACCAGCTCACTAAATCATTCAAACGTAATGTTTACTTATATGTGAACAGTAACAAAGTTCAGTCAAAACATTGACAACAAAATTGGAGAAGCCGCTTGATCATGGAGGGCGAGGAGTGGTGGTGCATATGCTCCTGAAACGACAGAGCAAACACGCTACATTAGGGATAATAATTACAATGAGCCATTCATTCAAAAATATCAAAAATATAATTAGGCTATTAAATACAATTACGACAGGCTTGGTACTCACTTAATGTGAAAACTGACATCTCCCATCGGTCGCTATTTTTTGGATATCTAGTGATAAGCACTTTAATCCGCAGGCAGTTCTCAAGGTTTTTATGCGTCAATCGATTCCTCTCGTTATCGCATTCATTGAAGAAAAGGACGACTCGCATGTATAGGTGGAAGAGAACATTGTGAGCACATAAAATGTGAGTCTCTTGATCGTGCTATACTCCTCTGAGCTTCCCACCCAAAAGTCACTCACAGACTCCGCACTTCTGAGCGCATTGCTGACCAGGGAGCTTGTTTGAAAATCAATTAGCTCCATTTCTAATGCAGCCTCGTCTAAGGAGGGGATCATTTGTTTCGCCTGGGAGGTGAAGTCTCCACTTGGTCGGACTGTGAGAGGATCGCGTACAAAGGCAATGATGTCTTTTGGGATGGAGTAGTCCTCAAACCTTGACGTGAAGTTGGCCCGTAGCTGCTTGATGAAGTCCACCATCAGCTCTGTCACTTGTCCCAGTGCCTGTGATTTTAGTGTACTGAAATGGAGGAGCCAGCCAGTGGATATGTCTGACTCGAACAACTCCAGCTTCCTCGTGAAGGATTCAAGCTTTTCAAAACCTATGGTTTTGCCTCTCCCCTGTAGCTGCAGGTTAAGCTGGTTTAGGTGGCCAAATATATCCGCTAAAAATGCTACATTGGACATGAACTTGAAGGCCGATTGTCGAACCTCAGATTGAGGAGGAACAATGCGGATTCCGTCCTGGTCGTGGAACGACGGATCAGCTTTTTACTCTCGCAAGGATCCTGGAGGGGGCCTGGGAGTACGCTTATCCGGTCTACATGTGTTTTGTAGACTTGGAGAAGGCGTATGACCGAGTTCCCAGGGAGTTACTGTGGGATGTGCTGCGGGAGTATAGGGTGAGGGGGTCTCTACTCAGGGCCATCCAATCTCTGTACTCCCAAAGCGAGAGCTGTGTCCGGGTCCTCGGCAGTAAGTCGGACACATTTCCGGTGAGGGTTGGCCTCCGCCAGGGCTGCGCTTTGTCACCAATCCTGTTTGTAATATACATGGATCGGATTTCGAGGCGTAGTCATGGGGGAGGGGGTCTGCAGTTCGGTGGAATAAGGATTGCACCACTGCTTTTTGCAGATGATGTGGTTCTAATGGCTTCATCGGTCTGCGACCTTCAGCACTCACTGGATCGGTTCGTAACCGAGTGTGAAGCGGCTGGGATGAGGATCAGCACCTCCAAATCTGAGGCCATGGTTCTCAGCAGGAAACCGATGGACTGTCTACTTCAAGTAGGGAATGAGTCCTTACCCCAAGTGAAGGAGTTCAAGTATCTCGGGGTCTTGTTCTCGAGTGAGGGAACAATGGAGCGTGAGATGGGCCGGAGAATCGGAGCAGCGGGAGCGGTACTGCAGTCGCTTTACCGCACCGTTGTGACGAAAAGGGAGCTGAGCCAGAAGGCAAAGCTCTCTGTCTACCGGGCCATTTTCGTTCCTACCCTCACCTATGGTCATGAAGGATGGGTCATGACCAAAAGAACGAGATCGCGGATACAAGCGGCCGAGATGGGTTTTCTCCGCAGGGTGGCTGGTGTCTCCCTTAGGGATAAGGTTAGAAGTTCGGTCATCAGGGAGGGACTCGGAGTTGAGCCGCTCTTCCTTCGCGTCGAAAGGAGCCAGTTGAGGTGGTTCGGGCACCTAGTTAGGATGCCACCTGGGCGCCTCCCTAGGGAGGTGTTCCAGGCACGTCCAGCTGGGAAGAGACCAAGGGGTAGACCTAGGACCAGGTGGAGGGATTATATCTCTTCGCTGGCCTGGGAGCGCCTTGGGATCCCCCAGTCAGAGCTGGTTGATGTCGCCAGGGAAAAGAAAGTTTGGGGCTCTCTGCTGGAACTGCTACCCTGTGACCCGACCACGGATAAACGGGAGAAGATGGATGGATGGACATGAACTTTTCGTCTCCCAGAAGGGCATGGTGGTCAGCTGCTGCCCTAATCTTGCTCAATCTAAGAAACGCCTTGACCTCATCCAGTAGCGCACAGAAGCGGTCCAACGCTTTCCCTTTGCTCAACCAGCGCACGTCATTTTGAAGCAGCAGGTCATCGTGGGTGGCCCCTTCTGACTCAGCCACAAGTTATCGGAAAAGCCGATGCTGGGTGCTTGATGTACCCCAGACAAAATGAATGACACGCATCACTTTGTCCATAACTTCCTTTAGCTCACCACTGAGTTTGGCACAAAGGACACTCTGGTGGATGAGACAGTGCAGTCCATGCATTTGGGGGGCGTGCTCCTTCAACCTGCTTACCAGACCTCTGTGCTTTCCCACCATAGCAGGAGCCCCGTCTGTCACGATTAGGTTAACCCTCTCAAATGACAATGAATGCAGCCTAAACAACTCTTCCAGTTTCGTAAATATAACGTCCCCAGTGGTGTGCCCTTCTAATGGATTAACAGACAGCAGCTCTTCCCTGAACTCCTTTCCATCAAAATATCTAACATAGACGCACAACTGGGCAACATCTGTACTGTCAGTGCTCTCGTCAATGGCTAAGGAAAAGTAATTGGCTTGACTGAGACCCTTGATAATTACCCCC